CTACAAGAAAATCTGTCACCAAAGTACACCAATATATATATATATATATATACATACATATATGTGTGTGTGTGTGAAGCTTTAGAAAATGTTAAATGTAAGTTATTAGCTTAAGTTTCTAATGTTTATTTAAGTTTCAGGTAAGCTTAGTGTAAATTTGTTGACCTGTGTTTAGCTGCTCTCTATTTAGACATACGAGACTTAGTTCAGCCAGGGTCATGCTTACATGACTTGTGTCAACCAAAATCAGACTCATTGGATTTGTATCAGACAGGCTCAGACATACAGGACTTGGCTTGGCCAGGTTCAGACATACAAGGATTGGGTCAGCCAGGGTCAGATGTACAGATATTGGGTCAGCCAGGGTAGGATGTACAAGGCTTGGGTCAGCCAGAGTCAGGTGTACAGGGCTTGGGGTCAGTCAGAGTCAGACATACAGGGCTTGGGTTGGCCAGGGATGACCTACTATTTCCATATTTATTCTTGTTTACATTTTGTTGTTATATATTACTCTTCTTAATGGCATTTGTATTTGATATTTTAATGTTACTTATTTACTCTCTGAATTAAAACATAAAAATGTGTTAGTTAAATCCAAGCTATTTATATATATCACTTTAATTGACTACATTCAAATTTGTTGATGTAATTTTTTCATATAATAGTAATTAATGGTTCTCAAACGAGGCCCAAAAATCGAGCACTTTTGAATAGTTCAATATTCTTTTTCTGGAAGAAGAATAGTGAACTATTCAAAAGTGCTCGGGTTTTGGGTCTCATTTGAAAACCATGACAACTTTTGTTTGTGATCCTGTGTGCCAACTTCTTAATCAGAATAGTAATTAATGTTTAAAATTAAATAAACTAAAACATCATAGAAAATTAAATAAAGAGTATCACACACTTTCTAAACAGTTAACTTATTGTTTATACACTTGATTTGGTAATGTTTGAATCTATTGGAAATGATTGTTTAACATTATCATTTTGATAAACATGTAAACTATTAATGGTTTAATTTGTTCAATATTTGTGTGTTAGAAAATAAAATTATGTTACATTCTAGTGCACAAATGTTTGGAATGTATATCATTCTTTTCTGTTATGTAATGCATCCCACACTTATGTTTATTAGTTTACATCACTCACATGCTTTGTAATGTACATCAGTCAAGCTACTTTGTAATGTATATCACTTTCATGTGTTTAGTAATGTACATCATCACTTGATGTTTTGTAATTTAGATGTTATCTTTATTTTCAGTGTTGGTATTAAGACCACTGAAGAAGTAAGATTAAGATGTGTCTATATATTCTTACCATTTCTGTATCAGTGTTGGTATTAAGACCACTGTGGAAGTAAGATTAAGATGTTTCTATATACACTCACTTTTTCTATATCAGTGTTGGTATTAAGACCAATGTGAAAATAAGATTAAGATGTGTTTTTATATACTAACCTTTTTGTATCAGTGTTGGTGCTAAGACCACTGTGGAAGTAAGATTAAGATGTTTCTATATATATACTTATAATTTCTGTAAGACACTTCTTTTCATTAACCATCTTCAGAATAAAATACATAGGCAAATTAAATTTGCAGTACAGACTATGAGATTCAGATTAATTTTTTTATAATTTGAGATAAATATGCATACACAATCAGATAATGTTATTTTTGAATATTGTTATTTGTACAAAAATATTTTACTTATCCAAAAAGTAGTGAAAGCATGTCCATTTTGCTGTTTTTCTATAATTTAGAGTGTCACCAGGTTTCCAGAGCTCGGCTTTTAGTGGAAACAGATCGTGAACTAGCATCAATTATCTCAGCAAGAGGTAGAGACCATCAGAAACCGTATGGTGAAACTTTATCATCAGAACGGAGACGAAAATTAGCTCGTATGGAAGCAGTAAGATCTCAAAGTAATAACAATCAGGAGCTGAACCTGCTTACTAAGGTAATTTTTTGATTTACCTCACACATCTTCATATTTTGACAAATCTTTCATCTTTATTTTAGTTTCTGGTTTCAGTGAATGTAAAAACAATCATATGAAGTGCACTTGCATCATTACACTATATTTTTTTACCCTATAGGAAAACCTGCATGTGCTTAGAGAAAGACAGAGAGACCTTCGAACTTTACAGGTATACAGAGAGCATCACAAGCATGAAGAAATCCTTAACCTGTTACAGAAAACAATAACAACAGAAGCTACAATACATCCTACACTTGGTGCTGTAGAATTCTTTGAATTTGAGCTGACAAATCCATATACAACAGATTGTAATATCTTCATAGAAATAGATAATCCATACTTAAAGTAAGTAATCTTAACAGAACCTAAACTAAATTTATTTAGTTTTGAAAGACAGTGTATAATTAGTGTCCTAAATTGAGTTGATAAAATGGTTTAACTGTTTTTAGTGGCTCCTCTTCACAGTTTTGGGCCTGGCATGACTTGGTGGTTGGTGCACTTAACTCACAATCTTCAGCTAATGGGATCACAGCCTAATTCTGAACATGCTGACCAATTCAACAATGGGAGCATTATAATGTGACAGTGAATTCCATTATTTGGTAGTAAAGAGTAGCCCAAGAGTTGACAGTGCATGCTGCCAGCTGGTTGCATTCCTTGTGTATATTTATTTTTCTTCATTGCTACTCTTTCTTAACTTTAACAAATATTCAGTGTGATCATAGTAACTTTTTTTTCTTTCCTCTAACCTGTCTAAGTTAGCTTGGTATGCAGTTGAGTAAATATACTCGTGGCTTTATTCTTGGCTGTTCTTTGGAAGTGATCTCAACAAAAATCCTTGGCTCTTCTGCAGGTTGAGTTTTAGTTGATAAATTCTTCTCTAGAGTTACCCAGTTGGCTGTTCTTTAACTAATATATTTCATAGACAATCGTGGTGGAATGATCTTTGGGTTGGGCTGTGAGTTCTTCTGGATTCTGTAAACCATACCATTGATTCTTTTTAGTACAAATGGTCTTTCCAAACATCTAATTAACTTTGGAATTTTTCCTTTCTTTTCATAAGAATTGTTCTGCCATACCTTGTCACCTTGATGAAATCTAGTCTTATCAGCATTAAGATAATAGTAACTTTTCATATTCTCACAAGGTGATTTAAGTCCTTCCAGGGTAAAGTCAGGTATGACATGTTTATTCTTCAGATTCACAAGAGCTCTTTCAACCATCAATCCCTCACAATATGCCAGTGTATTTAGTTCATCTATGTGCTAGTCATTAGATGTTGATTTATTCGTAATCCTAATAACTACTGGTATGAATATTTATTTCTTGGTGGTATAGTGACCATGTTGTCACTGGAAATTCAGCCTCTGGTCTTGTAATTGCCATTTACTTTTTCTGTCCATACACTATGAAGCAATTTGAAGGTAGCTTAATGTCATATCTGTGTGTCTCTGCATGATACCAGTATCTAATATACACTCTACTTCAATGTCATTTACCCACACGTTATGAGATATAGATAAGACTTCTATAGTAAAGGCAGCTCTCAACTTTTTCTCTTGATGGAACTTTAAGCCTACCTGCTGGTCACATCAATTCTTTATTATTATTATTATTATCTATGGATGTAATTTCCCACCTTTCATAACCAAATTGTTTCAAAAATTGTAGCTATTGAACCAGTGTCAATCAACACATTGCAAGGTCTTCCATGAATAAATCCTTGGCTTCATGGGCATTTTTTTCTTAAATAATGAAATTATTATCTCTCTTTTGGCAGAAAGAGAAATCCAGCTAATTCCAGTTTTCTTAATGTCTGGTAGTTGTTTGTTCTTTTTTCTATCTGGTTGGGCTCTGTATCTTTGGTTGAATAACAACTCTTGGTTCCTTACAATCTAGTTGTAAAGGCCATGATTCCAATATGGTACTTCTCTCCTCTCATAGATTAGCTCTTCCCATTTTATGCTGTCCTCTATATGCAATTTTTTGCCAAAAGCCTTCCATGCACCCCTATTGGAATCAAAGATTCCAGTATGTTTCTCATGCAAATCATCATGCTTCGTTTCTCCACCAATAGGAGAGCACTACTATCACGTGATGCATGTGACTCCCTCTATGTGCTACTATCGAACCATCACTTCTCGTTTGGCAGTACTTGAGTTCAGACATCTTTCTTTTTTTCAATACTTCTCAGAGTAGTTTAACTTAATTTAATTTACTTTATTTCAAGATTTTTTTTCACTTTATTTTCGAAAGCGTTTGATTTACCCATGTTTTGCCGAAGTTAATGTTGCCATTGTGGATACATCTCATTCGTCTGATGCCATACTTCAGCGAGCCGTCGATGGATTTGTTGGCCTTTATTCGCAGGGAGATTGAGCATTATATGGGACAACCTTTGTCTCCTACTGTTGCCCCTCTGGGCTATTCTAGCCTGGCCAGGCTGACGAGGATTTCGATGGTTTGTTACCCCCCCCACCCCCCCACAAAAGTTGGCCGTGCCTTCCCAAACCCTACCCAAGGATTTTGGTCAACCCTCATTGGCTTTTTCTCGGATGTTATTTCTCAGGTACGTGATGTTTTGTCTATTGCTCCTATTTGTTATGAACCATGTCCTTTCATAATACATTATTCTTCTTCCAAACTTTACTCAGTTTCCCCCGTCCTCTGATATTCGGGTTCACACTGAGTATTTTACCTCCCAATTAGGTGATGGTATTAGTATGCCTCGTCCCCTGCGGGCTTCAGATCAATCTGCCCTCACTCATCATAGGACGGCCTGTCCATATCTGCACCAACAATTGTTGGGTTCAGCTCTGTCTGTTTGGGGGGGAGAAAATCTCTCATTCATCTTACCAATGCCGAGTATTCTCACCTTTGTCTTACCCTGACAACTCTTTTGCGGTACCTCTCCTTGATCCATCTCCTGTCTGAGGCTCTTCACAGAAATCCTGAGAGGTTTTCTGGAGACGTCCTCTCCCTCTCCACTTTCATTTTGGTCTGCCAGTCGTCTTCAGCTCTGGCCCTGCAAACGTGGTTTATTTATTGTTGGAACCTTTTGGGTTGTGATGCCATATTGTCAAGGACCCATCTTCCAGCTCCTTATATACAGGACCTTCGTATGACCTTATTATTGAGTCGTTTCGTGTTTGATACAATCCTGGAGTTTAGGGTAGCTTTGGTCCAACAACAAACCATCCTTTTTCATCTGGTGGTCTGTTAGTCCCAAATGGAGCCAAGCATGGCACCGATTCCTGTTTCCCAACCCTCCCCTTCCCATCTCTTGCCTGTTCCTCCTTCCCACAAAGCCACTGTTCGTGGTTTTTTTCATTGGTATGCCAACAATGGTTCCAGTAACTACCTGGTGGGAGATCGTCTGGTGACCTTCATTCATTGGTGGAGCTTACCCTTCCTCCCTTGTTCTGCATACCTTTCCTCCTTCACTGGATCCCTTATCACGCCAGCATCTATCCAAGATGGTGCAAGACCTCCTCACACACCAGACTATCGAACCTGCTCCACGTGATTCGGGAAGGGATGTTTACTCCCGCTTGTTTGCAGTTCCGAAAAAGACAGAGTACTGGAGGTTGCCCATCAACCTGTCCCATCTCAATCGGTATGTTCACACCCCATGCTTCACCCTGGAATCCTACCTTAATCTTCAGTGGGCTTTTTCTCTGGGTCTTTGGATTACCAAGATGGACATCTCCAATGCTTATCTGCATATTTCTATATTGGAGCGTTTTCGTCATTATCTTTGGTTTGTCCATCATGGAGTGGTGTACCAACTTTGTTCCATACCCTTTGAGCTGGCTTCGGCACCTAATGTTTTCTGTCAAGTGATCTCCAATGCTTATCTGCATATTTCCATATTGGAGCGTTCTTGTCGTTATCTTTGGTTTGTCCATCATGGAGTGGTGTACCAACTTCGTTCCATACCCTTTGAGCCTGCTTCAGTGCCAAATGTTTTCTGTCGGGTAGTGCAAACTATTGCTCTACATTTTCATGCCCTGGGGTTGCACTTTAAATTTTACATGGATGACTGGCTTATTCTCGCTCATTCAGAATGGGAGTCAGCCTGTCATACTCATCAACTCCTTCTCAAAGCTGCTCGGGTAGGCTGGTTGATCAAATTGGAGAAGTCCTTCCTACATCCTACCCAGTACTTTGTTCATCTGGGTGCTTTCTTCAACACCCGTCTCAGCCGGGCCCAATCTTCCCCTTTCTAGCTCTGTTCTATGAAACTTTCTGCTTATGAGGTTCTATCACTTTTGGGGATGTGGTCTTCTACGACTCCTCTCATATTCCTCGGCTAGGCTCATATGTGATCCCTTCAATGGGCCCTACATGACCAATAAAACCTTGCTTGGGATCTCTTGGATGCGCCTATAACCCTTCCTTCCCACATTGTGGACAATCTCTGATGGTGGTTAGACAAGGCTCATACATTGGTGGGTGTCCTACTTCTTCCTCCACAGCCAAATGTACATCTGTTCACAGATGCATCCCTTCAGGTGGGGTACATTGGTTGATCTCCAGGAGGCTTCGGGTCATTAGTCTGTTGGGGAACATTCTCTTCATATCAATGCCCTTGATCTCCTTGCTGTTTGTCGGGCTTTGGATCACTTTTTTTTCCCATCTCCAGAGATCTTCTGGTCATGATTCATTCCAACAATTCAACAGTGGTTGCTCATATCAATCACCAAGGTTGCACTCTGTCAAAATCTCTATGTTTTCTAACATTGGATCTTCTCTTATTGGTGCATGACCATCATGTTTGTTTGATGGTGTGTCACATACTGGATGTTTTGAACCATGTGTTGGATTGTCTTTCCTGACCCAACTGGGTTTACCCAACAGAGTGATCCTTTCATCCCCTTGTTTTTCAGTGGCTTTGGGATCAGTGGAATATTCCTCATGTCAGTGCATTTGCCACCACCCTCAATCACCAGTTAACTTTGGCTATAGATGCCTTCAGTCACGATTGGTCGAACAAGTTCTTTTATGTTTATCCTCCTATCTGATTACTTCATTGGGTAGTCTCCCTCATCCATGCCACTCTATGCAAAATCCTTCTTATTACTCCTAACTGGCTCGCTCAGCTGTGGTTTCCTCGATTACTCCAGCTACAGTTGTTCCCTCCCCTCCATCTTCCTTTTTCCCCAACCTTCTTAGTTAACCACAGTCACTGGTTCTACATCCTGCACTTCATGCCCTCCATCTTCACACCTGGTTTTTGTCTGATTCCTAGTGAGGAGATCCAGCTTCTCACGTTTGGTGTCATTTCGTTTAGCTCATTCTATTCCTCCTTCATCCATGGTTGTGTGTGAGTGGAAATGGAATGTTTTTTTTGCACCTGGGCCCTGGCTCGAAGTATCCCAGCTTTTTGTCCTATGGTTTCTGATATCTCAGAGTTTCTTACGTTGCTTTTTGAATAGAGGTCTTCAGTCTCCTTGTTATCGGGTAGCCCTATCCCATACTTTCTGATTTTCTTATTTCTGCAGGGTCTTTCTTTTCCCTGTCCTTGCCTTTTTTATCCATTCTTTCTTGATAGGTTGGCTGCCTCAGCATCCGGTACTTCCGGAATGGGACATTAACGTGGTACTCTATTCCCTTACTTTGCCTCATGCTATTTGATTCACCTATCCCTTAAGGTGTATTTCCTTCTCCTCCTGGCCTATGGGTGGCGTCGGTCTGATCTGTTCACTCTCAATGTCACTTGCACATTGTACCACCAAACCTATCTTCTCCTTTATCAGGATCATTTCTTTCTTCCCAAGACCTCGGCAGTTCACGAGGGTAACTCCTTCTTTTCGCCCATTTCTTTTCCCTCTATTTCTCATCTCTACCCCTGTCCTGATTTGGATAGAATTCTATGCCCGGTGCGTCCCCTTTGTTATATTGCCCGCATGGCTTCTTTCAGGGGGGGCCCAGCATGGCCAGGTGGTTAGGGTGCTTAAGTTGCAATTTGCGGGTTGTGGGCTTGTATCTCTGTCCCACCAAACATTCTCACCCTTTCATCTGTGGGGGCATTATAATGTGACAGTCAATCCCACATTGGTAAAAGAATAGCCCAAGAGTTGGCAGTGGGTACTGATGATTAGCTGCCTTCCCTTTAGTCTTTCACTGCTAAATTAGGAACAGCTAGCACAGATAGCCCTCATGTAGCTTTCTGCAAAATTCATAAGAAACAATCCTTCAGGGGTTCCAGTTCCCATCTCTTTATCCCATGGCAACCCTCTTCCTCTCAAGATCTTTCTCTCTTTACCCTTACCAATTAGGTTCGTCCTCTAATCCAGTTGGCTTATTCCTCTTTGTCCCCTTCCCAACATGCTTTGTTCTGTGTTACCTCCTATCAAATCTGACACCTCACCTTTTCCCTTGCTTCTCGTCTTCGTGGGCCTTTGGATGAGATTCAGTAGTTGGGCATTTGGACCACCATTCAGATGTTCATCTCTCATTACTTACATCATGTCGTGGTTTCTGCTTTCTCGGGGTATCACCTACCGCCTGTGGATATACTTCAGACTTCAATTTGGCTATGATACTAGGTAATTCTTTATTAATGCTTTCTTTTCTTTCAGGGACCTTTGCTTTGAATTTCATCTCTTGTATCCTGCTCTTTGGCGAATGGTGCCTGACCAGGTATTCTCTACATACACAGACAAATCTGCACTGTAAACCATGTTGATTTGCGCTCTTTTTCCATGGCTCAGCACACTCACCTATGAGATGAGGTGTTTTACAAGATCACTGGATGGTCCAAAACCTCGTGGTATTTGCTTCATAAATAGGCCTGTCCCGGACCATATCATTCATGGACAGCATGGGTAAAGCAGAAGGGGACAGCTGCCCATCCCTGCCATGCCTCGATTGAATAAATTGGTATGGTCTGCTCTTCTAAATAAGGTTTTGTGATCACCCATTGCACTGTCTTGAGTATAACTGTTCCTCTGAACTCTCCAGTGCTCTTCCCTCCTTTCTTCCTGTGGAGTATGGGAGTCCTTATCACTTGCCAGTTTAAGCTGCTGGGGTGGTTGACCATGGAGGCATCCTACTGGATGAATTCCACATAGATGGCTATAACCATTCAGTTCAGAGTAGGGTGGTGGTGTTCTGCCAGTGTAGAAGACATACCATCCTCCAGATTGAGAGAGACCTACCACAGAGTGAGACGTCTAAATGCAGTTCATCCCTTCAATTGGGTGCCCTCATAGAGATGTCGGTACCTCACGGGCTGGTTTTGGATATCAAGTGAACCAATCAACTTAAGTCCTTATACAGGTTTGGGGTTGTCCATTTTCCTCCCTTGATTCTTTCTTCTGTGTAGTGGGTCATGGAGGGTATAGTGGGATGTTTCTGTTTCCATCCTGGGCACTCCCTCATTCTCTCTTGCAACAGTGATGTTATTGTCCTTTGGATGTTTTGGACCAGTCTCATGGTCACAGGAGTTGATTGCATGCAATGGATATCCATTAGCTACCGGCTCAATCCTAATCCTATTTTGTGCCCTGGAGTCAGTGTTTTCCTCACATCCACGATTTTAGGGCTTGAGGTGAAGCCGGTAGGGTCCTCATTTTATCCTCACGCAGATTTCAGTACTCAACAAGGAAGATTTGGATCTAGTTAACTTACCGAGTACAGTCTGCCACGCCCTAGCCATTCTACAGGGACACATCCTCCATTACCCAGTTTACTTCTGTGGGATACAGTTTCTATATTTATCCAGTTGTGATCACTCAATCTGATGTGCTGCTTCCTTCCTTTTCCACCATGTGTATTCCTAGTTGTTCATGGCGAGGAGATACTTGATTCAGAAGTGGTGCAGTGCCCCTCTTCAGATCATCAGATCTATTTCTCTCATCTACAGAAGTATCCTTCTGATGCTTTTGAGGGGGGGGGGGTACATCTGTTCTTCCTTCACACTTGTCCCTCCTCTTTTTCAATGTGGGATCCTAGCTAATCTTGTGAGTGGAGGGAAGTACCTATCGGAAATATCACTACAGGAAAATTATAACTTTCCATAATTATAACATTTGCCTCTTTCTGGTTTCCTTTGTGGGCTTTTATTCTATACATGATTTTGTCTGTAGTTCTGGACAATGTGTTCTTTAAGTTACACTAGAAACAACAATTATATTGTGGTTTATTTCCTCCATTATATGTAACTATTGTCTAACTTATAATTTTAATTCTTCTATAATTTTGTGAAGAAGAGTCGATTTTTCGATACTACTCTATTAGAGGATCCTGTAACTTCTAGATGATGCCTTTAGTAATTTATCTGCAATTTTCATGGATTCAAGTTCCATTACCAACTAGTTTAAAGATGTACACCTACTCTGCTTCAACCTAATTCACACATCCTTGTCTACTATGGAATCTACAAATTAGTCATGTGCCACGAATCTCACATTTTACATGGAGCATCCAGATAAGATAATTGGGAAAGTCTTTCAAAATTTTCTGCAAGTTAGGCTAAACTCTCTTCTTTCTTCCACGTCTTGCTCCAGAACTTTCCTCTGAATAATTCCTTCTGGTATATCACGTTGAATCTGTTAGATAAGGCAGCTTACCAATGCTTGATAGTTGTTATAGCTCTCAGGTGGAAGGTTATTTCAAGCTGTTAAGCTGATTCTTCTAAATGTGCAGAAAAATTAATAACTTGTTGTTCTCTTTTTCTTCTTTACGCTCTGGAAATTATTTCAAACTGAGGTTGACATGCCTCCTATGATACCTTCCCATCATAATCTGTTAGTTTTTCTATTGGGCAATGTTAGTGAACTGGCCAGCTAAATTCTGGAACATGATTTGGAATTTTCATGGCTGGAGTAGTTTAGGAAGGTCCTGCAGTCACAGATGGCACAGCAGTAGTAAATAGTTTTAGGCTGAAATATTTGGGTGGATACAGAAAGAGGGGTGACTGGTTTACTTTTTGTCTTTACCTATTTCCTTTCCAAATGCTTTATTTTTTCATGATGTTCTTTTCAGTCTCATTGATCTTGCTGTTATGCTCTTTCTGCACATTATAGATGTCCTGTTGTACTTTGCTTTTGAATTTATTGATATACTATGGTACTTCTTTAATCTTGTGCAATAGTTTTGTTGATCTTGTCAGTTACATTAATTTTTACTTTTAAATTTTTTTTATATGCTACATGTTTTTCTAATAGTTTTTTACTCTTACATTCCTGTCCTTTACCTCGATCTTTTAATTTTTGGTCTGTTTCTTTTTGATCTTCTCTTAATTGCTTCATCCTTTCTAGCAAAGTATTGATCTTGCTGATTGGCAATGCTGTTTTAATACTGAATAGCCAAAGTTCTATCTTCACAAAAGTGATCACACTTCTGACACCAATGTCGCAAAGTGTTCTATCATTGGGTTCTTTTGGATTATTTGGTGAAAATAATGCCAAGAGAAGTCTATATATATATTGATAAATGATTAGCTTATTTCTTCTTTAACATTTGCTACAGGCTACTTTTACTTTGACACAAGTGCACCAACAACATTCTCATCAGAATTTTTTAAACTAATGGTAAGTTTGCCTAGCTCACAAATGAACATTTGGAATTTATTCAATAATTGATCAACATAGACATGATAAATATCACTTACAATACTTAATAACATTTCTGGCAATAAACTCACTAAATACTCATATACTAACTCACTAACTGAACTCGGTCATAACTGATTTAGTCATATTTTATATAATAATTTTGTTTCTAGATATTTAGAAAATCTTCTTGATTATGACATCGTAATGAACTTTCAGATATTTCATCATCGTGATTATCAGCTCCTTTTAGAAAAAATCTAAATTAAAGCTTAGAAATATGGCTCTCAACAATATTGTTTTGGAGAAAATTATTGTAATGAAAAATAAAAAAATTCAAATGCATTACTTGATTACTTAATAAATGTACATGTCTACATAGAAATATTAATGCCTGAAAACAAGCTAAAATTTAGGCATTATTCTTATTTCAGTATTGTATTCAAAAGCAGTGAATGGCAACACCTGCGACACTTATGGCATATAAGTGGTGTTGTTGAAGAAAATTTCTTAACAGCATCTGATCAGGAAAGAAAATATCCAAATCTAGTCTTAAAATCTAAAGAAACAGTGCGTATACCATTCAAATACCAACTTTGGAACATTGGAGAAGAATCAGTTGATAGCTGGGAAGTAAGTATATATTGTCAAAATATATAAAAATTAACTAGCTATCTCAGTACATCTAACTTCTGTAGTATATATTTTAGCTGTGTGTGGACTAAGTTTCTCAGTTCATAAAACTAACTTTTGTAGTATTTAGATATGTGTGTACTTAAGGTTGTCATTTGATACAACTAACTTCTGTAGTATGGACTTTAGATGTGCATGAACTAAGATTCTCAGTTGAAACAACTAATGTCTCTTGTATATATTTTAGATGTACTTAAAAAAGAATTTTCTCTTATCCAGAATAAAAACAAACTTAAATTGGACTAAATTTGTAAAGAAACCATAATGATCTAGATTTTGGAATTGTGATTGAAAATTCCCATATTTTTGAAACCCTTCTATTGGGTGAAATAACTACAAAAGGTGGACCCCCTACATTTATTCCCCTTGTCATAAATTCTTAAGTTTGTCAGGTTTTCTGCCCCCACCCCCACCCACAATTGCTGCAGGGGCTGTGGGAGCATACTTATGCCACTGCTTCTTATATTTGTCTTTTCATCAGAAGTATAGTAAAATCGAAGCTAGCCAAAATATTCATGACTAATCGAGGCTTACATATTGGGAATTTTGGTGACAAGAGTTCCATTTTGAAAAGCGTACATCAAGAACATATTTCTAGTCAAATAATATGAAAATAAATTTTTCATTAAATTATTGAAAAAAATACAAAGGGTATATATAGCCTTGTCAATTTTGATGAAAAAATACCTTTTTTGATACATGTAAAAATGTATAATCTAATACAAAATTATTTGTCTGCATTTTTTAGAAAATTGGTAAAACTAAAACATTATAACTTTAATGAAAATAATCATAAGCAGCTATTGGTCATTATTTTTGGTCACAATTATAATAAAAACCTTTTTATATTTAACTCGTAGGCAGCTACTGGTCATTATTTTTGGTCACAATTATAATAAAAACCTTTTTATATTTAACTCATAGGCAGCTACTGGTCATTATTTTCGGTCAGAAGATCTAACCAACCTACAAAGTTCAACATATTTTTGCTCTTCTACTGCTAAGGTAGGTTTATCAACCTTTTATTTACTTTAAAGCTTTATACTGAAACATTTTATATTGTATATGTGTATAGTTACCAGATGAAAGATTGGACAAAAAAAAAGTTGTAGATTTTATTCACTCAGCTGTATGTTTATATGTTTGTGCTTGCTTGTGTTCTGAAACTCTGGGAACAATGAGTTAATTTTATCATGCCCAGGTGGGTACAATCCACTTGAAGGACAAAACTGCACTATTGACTGAAACAAATAATAGAAAATATACTTTTATGCATTTTTCCACACAGAGTTGATATTTAGGCAATAAAAAATATTATTTATTTATTTAAGCATAATGAAAGCATTATTGTTTGTTAATTTCCTAATTTTTTTATGAGTGTAACAGGGTACATAGGACGAGAGTTGTAGTAGTCTTGAATAAAATAATGCTACTTTATCCTTGTATCTTGAATACAGATGTAGTTTTTTCAATTTCTAGCCATCACTGTTTCTTAACCTTGGTAGTTATGATGTGAAGTAATTTGTTTAATTGCCTATATCTCAACTTCCAGAAGCTGTAGGCTACTGAACTAAGCATGCCATGAAAGTTCTTTTCTGTTCATTTGAACTTTAAAAGACATAAAGGCTTACTCTTTAGCAAAGAATTGCATACAGATCAGACAAAAATGATAACAGCTTAGACTGGGGATATGTTGCTAGAAAAATAATTCATGAACAACTTCCACTACAATTACAGTCCTGATTTCTTTTTTAAGCTTGTTTTATCCTTTTATACTTTATTTTAATTATAATGTTGCAGCAAGATAGGAAAATAAATGTTTTTTTTAACAAGATGAGGTAGGCTTAGTTAAATCATTTTGCACTCAACCATATCAAATTCCATTTCACTAATGAGGCAGCTGTGTTAGGCTTTATCAGCGTAGGTTAATAACTGCTTGAATGTACCAACAAAATCAACAAAAAGAAATGTTAAAAACTATGTATAAATGGATATAAAACAGGTTCAAACTTATTAGCTACATTAAATGACAATATCTGACTAACTGTTTTAGAAAAGGTGGCTTGCTTTTATTTTTGATATGATTATGATAAAAAAAAGGATTCAAAGTGAAACTGTTTGCACATATTTTTCAAATCAAAAGAAAGATAAAATATTTAGCTTCATATGATTACTATTTCTCACTTCTATGATCGATCAGATTTTGATCATTTATTATGTCCAGTGATAATCTTGAAGGTTTTGTTGCCTGCATTAATAACTTTAGAGATGCTAGACAATGACTTTTTTATTCACTGAGATCATTCATTTTCTCAGGATCCATCCTTGGTTACATTAACCAGGTAGGTACACAGTTGTTCTATATTGCTTATACTGGGCTCTCTTTGAAGGCGAGGAATCGTCTGTGAGTCTTGTCTAATCAGATTCATCACATTTATATGTCCTTGGCAGCTTGGTTGAATTGCCCGCTGAAGGACATTATGTCGACTGGTATGTGGACTTTCTCCATTACTTTTATCTTATTATTCACATGATCTGGCAGTAACTTAATCTGAGGATGTTCAACTACCCCTTTAGCTATCTTATCTACTTCCACTAGATTATACAGAGGGGGGGGGAGAGTATTTTCAATGTCTTTTCTTTACCTTTCAGGATCCCTTACCTCGATTTGACAGGATTCCACACTATGGCGAGTGTTGCCCAGGCAGGTGTGCTTTTATCAAACCAATTCCACATTAGCAACCCCTTTATCTAGGTTGCAACAGGCTCTGTAGAAATGAGGTATTTCATAAGACCACCTAGATGCTGTCTGGGTGGTATTACTGTACTATGCTGGACCACCACTCATGGACTATCATGAGTAAAGCATAAGGGGATCCAGCCAATCATTGGATTTATTAAATCAGGGTCAGTTTGCTTTTAAAAGTTTAGGGATCTTGATTCACCTATTACACTGTTTCCAAAGCACTTCTCCTCAGGACTCCCCAATGCGCATTACCCCCCAGATTCTACTAGTGAAGTTCTTACCACACTCAGTTTCCAGTCACTGGGGTGGTGGACAGAGGCTTTTCCTTCGGAGTGTTAGAGTGAATTTCCTCCACTATTGGAGAAGAGGGTGAAGTTAGGGGCTCTTCTACCATGATTCCTGGATGTTTTTTTTTCTTAATGAAAAATAATGGAAGCTCGGCTATCCAGGTGGGTTGAGCATGGCCCTTTTTTTGATCGATATTAGTTAAGGACATTGTTCATGGAAGAGGGTTCATTGTATCCTCATGATAGTGAACACAGAGTGGTCCCATTCTGGGTCCTTGGTTGAGCGCAGTTTGTTCCATGTCCTCCCCATAATTCTGGGAGCAAGTGAACTTTACCTTCCCCACACGGTTGGGGAGTGAGGATGAGTGATCATGAATCCTGACTGGTTGAGTTCTGTTTCCTCAGCTTGAGTTGGATTCTAGCTATTGATTGAGTCGGACTCAAGAAAGTACTTTTATACAGTACCAGGATACAGGTGCATTAATGTAGGTGGAAAGTTTCAGGAGACAAATATTGCCAAGGGCATTTAATTGGGGTATAAAAGTGTGAGAGAAGGTAAGTATTATTGGAAATACATTTTTGATTTAAGAAAATGTTAACTTTGAAGTTTGCACTGACATATTGTTAGAAGTTTTGTCATATTGATACAGAGACTGTGAACATGCTTTTTAATAATTGTTATTAAATGTGTTAGTGCCTGTATAGGAAACTGTATGATATTAGTAATGAAAATAAAACTAGCCCAGTAAATAATGTGTGTTTGGTAAAATTTTAATGTCCTGCTCTCTGATATAAGTTGTGTTAGAAAACTATGATGCTATTGACAGAAGAACTGGTCCTGTAAATAAGATGTGGGTAAAAAAAGTTATTTCCTGTTTCCTATATATTATGTGTACAAAACAATATGATACTGGTGCTAGTAGTAAGTAAATTATATTCAGTAAAAATGTGATTTTCTTGTTTTTGATATAGGCTGTGTATGATACTGGTAACAGAAACAGAACTGGTCATGTAAATAAACTGTGAATGGTAAAGCTTGACTTTCTGATTTAAGTATGAACATTTAATAACGAGTCCTTTTAGTCTGCAGGTTTTAACATAGATTAGTTCATATTAGTGAGAGTGTAATAGTTGATGCTGTTTTAAATAGGTGAAAGTCCCATACTTTATAATATACAAGCTGCTAGCTCTTTTGTGCAGGTCCATTTCGTTACTGAACACCAGAAAACTTTAGCAATCCTCAGCCTTCACATTCAGCACTTACCTCCATTGGTCCAACAGACAATGAGGTTTCTACCACCTGAGAATTCTTTTCTTAAACAGTGGATTCGTGTACCAGCTGGTAATACAAAAATATTTTTTTAAATTTAATTTACCTAATTTTTCTTGTAAAAACATGTTAAAAATATATAATGAAAGACTTTTAATTCCTGGTGTTGATATGTTGAAAATAAAAGTTATTAATTTCTAGCAGCTTTTAAAAGCATATGATTGTTATTATACTCATTAGAGGTCAACAGTTGTTATTATACTCGTTAGAAGTTAGTGGATATTATAATATTTATTACAAGTTAGTGGTTATTATAATGTTTATTAGAAGTTAGTGGTTATTATAATGTTTATTAGAAGTAAGTGGATATTATAATGTTTATTAGAAGTAAGTGGATATTATAATGTTTATTAGAAGTAAGTGGATATTATAATGTTTATTACAAGTAAGTGGATATTATAATGTTTATTACAAGTTAGTGGTTATTATAATGTTTATTAGAAGTTAGTGGAT